TGCAAGGTAGAGGCCAGAACCACTGAGCTAAATCTCCAGCCCAAGATATGAAAATTTTAAGATGCAAATAAGTGGTAAATAAATGCAGCATATACCCACACATCTGTACACCAGATACTGGAAGGCTGTGAACCATGCAGAGCAAAGTGAACCATGCAGAGCAAACAAACGCATTGAAACATCGATGTAGGAGGCCATTTTGAATGTAAGCTTCAAAATGGCTGTCTGTGTGAAAAGCCAGTACTATATTTTGAGAACGCCTTTCTAAGAATCCTGAAATATTAATAGCGTAGTCTTAATATAGTCGAAGATGAAAGAATGTGTTAAGGGTAGTAAGGGCTGCTTAGAATAGCACAATGACAATTTTGTATTTTCTGCTTGAGCTCATAAAAGCAAAAGGAAAAAAAAAAGTAAAAATAGTCAACGTGTTAAAATAACAGCAGCATTCAATTTTCCAAATTGCTATAAAGCTCTCTATTTCCCAAATGAATTCATGTGTATTTATTCCTGATGACATATTAATACAAGCTTCAAGGAAAAACGGAAGAAATACGAACTTTGCAAATTTTTTATTAAAATTGAGTAATAAACAATTTTTGATTGTTAATAAATTGGAAGAAACTTGTGAACTTACAGTTTAAGGAATTTTTTTTAAGTAGAATATAGCTAGTCTTAGGAAAATATTTCAATTAAGGAAACAGCAGTGCCTTTTTTTCTTACAAGCTATTTGAAGGTGCTATTCTCACACTGCATTCATCAGTAATTGACTAATTTTTGTCACCATTAATCTCCCACTCACACTATGTGATTTTTAGATGTGGGCACTTGACTAAATCTAAGCACGCAAGAAGCAGTCAGTCAGGGACATGCACAGGTTTTTATTTTTGTTTTTTTGGAATATTGTACTTTCTTAGCAGTCCAAACATAAACTGCTTGAAATTGCTGGTCCACTGTGACTGGTTGAGTGACAGGTGGAACTTGGGGACACTGTGTACGTGCTCTTGGACTCTTTGTGTTTGATGTGGGAAGGCCAGATTTGATCCCCAGTGCTTCTTCCTGCCAAAACCAGGGTCTCTGATTTTAGTGGAAACCCTAGGGCCATTTTAAGCATGACCAAAAAGCTCCTTGAAAGTTGAACCTTATCTAATTATGCGATGTGTATAAACTTAAGACACATAAATCTTAGTCACTGGAGCAATTTGTTTTTCTAAGATGCTTCGGTCCAGTGAAAGACGAAAGCAAATAAGGGGAGATTGATCTCTGAGCACTTTTATTGTTGGTGCTCCACACACCATAAAGTTTTGGCTCGTTAAAGGAAATTCCATAAACAAGTTTAGTTAATAAGAGTGAAGTAACTGTGTGCCTTTCCAAGCTCCCACTAAATTCCCTTTCCTCTTGCCATCCAGAGGGTATAAGGTAGAAAATGTACAATTGAGGGGAGCAGGCTTCAGCTGCAAGCTGTACGGACACTTCAGGGACCTGTGTGGCATTGGGATGTTGGCCGATCACACAGAACCAAACAATGTTGTGGATCTCCTTTGAGCTACTCATAAAATCTGCTAGATTGCTAGCATGGTTGGTATCTCTGGGGTGATCAGGTCTGCGGAAAATGCCCAATGGCTTTTCCCGACTGGTGGTTTTGTTAATATAAACATATCCTAAGGACATAAGAAACAGAGACACTTGAGAGTGCGTCATACTGGGAAGATTGTGGGTAACTTTTTTTTTTTTAACTTCTGCTAGAATAACTTTAATGGCCTTGCCTTTATAATTTTAATATAGATGGTGTTGGTCAATTTTTATTTTAGGTTGGGACAGATTTGAGAGGCTATCATGAAGACCATAAATGGAAAGCAAAAAGGGGGAGCAAGGCCCTATTAGTTTTTTTTTCATTGTGAGGTTTCATAGCATTATTGAATTTTTCCACATTACTAAGAGTAATCCTCAGTGTCAGTGTGGTGTTTACAAAGATTAAGTCATGGAAAGCCTCAAGTGCATAAAGAACTATATGACCCGTGTTCCCCAAATTGGCCTGTGGGTTAAGAGACATTGTACATTGCAGGTGAACGGTGCTGAAAAAATGGAGTCAGGGAAAAACAGAAGGGTTTTATTGACTTGAAAATAAATACAAAATATACTCTGAGCCTAAAAAAATATTGGCATATTCTAGAATCTTAGTATATTCCAGAATCTACAATTAGTAGTTTTTTTTGTTTGCCCTACTTTACAAACTCTTTTATGTACTTGGTCAGTTTTGTTGCATTTTTTGATTTGACTCTTTCTGTAGCTGTAATTAGGAAATACTCAACAAAGCAATTTTTTGGTTAGTCTTTGGACACACATCCAGTTAGTTGGTTAAAGATTACGCTCTCAGATTCCAGAACTTATAGCTAAGAGTACAGGCTTTGAGGGAAGAACACTTAGGGTCAAAGCTGGTTGCTGAAACTTAGCAGATGCATGGACTTGTACCAGTAATTACTTGCTCAAACTGGGGTTCTTCTCTTCTCCTCTTTTCTCTTCCCTCCCCTCTCCTGCTTTCCTTTCCTGTCCTTTCCTTTCCCATCCTCTTCCTTCTCTCCTTTGCTCTGCCCTCTTCTTGCCTCACTTTACCCTCTCTTTCCATTTGTTTCCTACCCTATCCCCTCCTGCCTCCTGCCTCCTGTCTCCTCTCTTTGTGGTACTAGGGACTGAACCAAGAGCATTTACACTGAGCTACATACCCAGTCCCTCTTCCCGCTGCCTTTAAAATTTTGTTTTGTTTTGAGAAAGACTTTCACTAAATGATTAAGTTGCTCAAGTTAGGCTCAAATTTATGATTCTTGTACCGTGGCCTGCTAGAAGTTTGGGATTAAAGGTATGTATCACCACATCCAGCTGCAATTCCTTATTTCTAAATTAAAGATAATAATAGTTCCATAAAGATCAAATAAGATCAGGGCCAGGGATTTAGCTCAGTGGTTCCACCACCAGCCTTGAAAGCACAGAGATGCAAGTTCAATACCTGGTACCCACCCCAGAGAAAATTTAGGGCCAGGGATTTAGCTCAGTGGTTCTGCTGCCTGCCTTGTAAGCCCTAGGACCCAAGTTTGATAGCTGGTACAAAAAAAAAAGAAAAGATTAAACAAGATCATACATATAAAAGGTACCTGTGCATTTGCTTGATTTGATGTCTTGTGTTTTAAGAAAATATCTTCCAGGGTCTCCTTGTCACCTAACCATAAATGTTAATGATCCTTCAAGAGTAGCTATCATGAATTAATAATTTGGGTTGCTTTACCAGCATTTCAAGCCAGATGGTCACTGACAATTAGCAAAAACTTTTTTTTTTTCTGCAATCAAGTTTTCCTCACATGTTGCTGCGCTGTGTTCCCAGTGGTTTACATTTTGGTGTTTGTTTTCTTCCTCCTTCCCTGTAGCTTGCAAAATTGGATATTATAAGGCTCTCTCCACGGATGCCACTTGTGCCAAGTGTCCGCCCCACAGCTACTCTGTCTGGGAAGGAGCCACCTCCTGCACCTGTGACCGAGGCTTTTTCAGATCTGACAATGACGCTGCCTCCATGCCCTGCACCCGTAAGTTGTTTGCTCATCTCCCATTTTTAGGATGCCAGCAGCTTTCATTACCACCTCACAGGGCACTGCCAGGTCCTCTCCAGGGTGACTGTGCAGGGGCCAAATTAGATCAAGCACACATCCTTTCTCAATCATAGCAGGGAAAATGCTTATGAAAGAAAGAATCGTTTCCACTGTTTCTGGGTGCATTTGGAATGTACAGCTGCATGTGGAACAGAGCTGGGGAGTTCAGAGCTTGTCTGACAGTGTAATTAGAGCTGAGATTGGAATGTATAAATGGCTTTACCATTGCAGTGAAGACTTGGGAATCTTAACAGCTGTGGGAGACGCAGGTAGAGGGCAGCATTAGGGAATGTGATTTCAGTCTATAAAGAGAGCTCCGTGGCACTGAGGTCATTGCATCCAGAAACAAGGCCTCGCAGTACATCACACACATCTTCCACGGGTTGTAGTTTGTCTCCCAGCCCACTATTTAGCCTCTGAGTGAGTGTTTAGCCTTCAATATAGCAGTTTCTTCTGCAGAGCAAAGTCAATAATAGTATACGTTGAGCATCCTTTTCCCAAAATGCTTGGGATGAAAAGTCAGAGATTTAGGACTTTTTTTTAAATTTTGCAGTATTTATACCCACATATTGAAATATCATGTGGATAAACCCATGGCTAAACATGAAATTCATTTATATGTCATGTTGCCTTTATACAAATAGGTAATTTTATACAGTATTTTTAGTGTGCCTGCCTTTTTACTGCAAGCCATCACATTAGGACTGGTGTGGAATTTTCTTCTTATGTTATTCTGTCTGTGCTCAGAAATACCACATTTTGGAGCATTTTGGATTTTGGAGTTTTGGATTAGGGATGCCTACCCTCTACTTCCCCTTATAGCTATTGGTATTTAATGCTTTGTATTTCTTTTATGCCATATAAAATTCATTGATACATTTTGGTTTTTACTGTCAAGATGACTCATATTATTTTGTTCTTTAATGATTATAAACTCCATCTTAGCTGTCCTGGGGAGAGCATCCCTGAACATGGAAGTCTTTTCTGGTTTTGGAGCACTTGGGACTGCCATTCTAGCACAATCAGGTATCATCTTTAAAAGGAGTGGGGAGAGATCTCAGGTTCTTCTCCAATTTACACTAAAATTGTCCTAACCTCTGGGGTGGCTTTTGCAAGAAGAGACATTACTACTACCACCTCCGCAGCTGCTGCCACTACCACTGCTACTAGTGGAAAATTTTATATTACTCTCAGGTAACATATTAGGTGCCTTCTATAAACCTTATCACACGCTCACATTGCAGTGAGTCTGTAAGGTAGGTGTTTCCATTTTGTAGACAGGGTAGCTGTCAGCTCAGAGATGTTAAAGAACACACCCCAGACCATGTCTTACCTCTTCAGAGGGGTTCTGGAAGGTTGTCTTGTCAGATCTACTAGGTCAAGCTAAAACTTCCAGAGTGAAGACATTCAGAGGGTCAGTCTTATCTGTAACCTAAATAGGTAAGGAGTTGAGTTCTTTGCCTCCTCTGTTTTCTCTTCCTTCTATAGACTATTTTCTCTGGGTTGGCATTTTCGTTTGGTCTGCTCAAGGCCAGACCCCCCCCAACTAAGTAATTTTGTTCTATATTCTATTTTGTGTAATTAGATTAATAATGAACTTCTGACTTCTGTCTATACCCATTACCTATAACTCTCTAGTGGTGAGAGTTTAGGGTACAATAATAAACTCAAGGGACAGTATTTTTGGATGATATTTTGATATTTGCCATACAAGCAGAGCCTTCTCTATGTTGAGGTTTGATTGTGCTATTAATGTCATAAAACTCATTTTTGATGGCATTGCATCTCTCCAGTACTTTTCAATCTCGAGGGTCTGTCCTATTATTTAGCATTCTAGGGGATGGTATGCCAGTCATTTAATTATTCATTTTGCTCCTTGGGACTTTGGGGAAGCTCCAACATTACCATGTGCCCGTGATACTAGACCATTTGCCTGATGTGTAATAATGATGGTGTCACTGAGCCTTTTGAATTTTATCTTTTTATGGGAATAAATTTTTAGCTTTCTACTGATGATATAAATAAAAAGAACTGATGTTAGCACAGGGATGGATCAAAAGGTTTAAAATTTAAAATATTTATTTTGCATCTTTTCTGAGATTGTTTTTACTAAGGTAAAAGGAGGAAGAGTGGTGACTCTTTGAATTTTGGATAAAAGGTCTGTGCCTCTTCCTCCTCCTCCTCCTCCTCCTCCTCCTCCTCCTCTTCCTCCTCCTCCTTCTCCTCCTTTTTGCTTCAGAGTCCTAGACACGGGCCTAGTGGTGTCTGAATCCCTCCAATCTGCCACCCCGTGCTCCAGAGAAGAGGAAATTGCATGCCCACAGTCACAGCACAGAGTTGCCAGCCCTACCGAGGCCTTAGCTCTGACCATTAAGCACTTTTGTAATTTTGAGAGTGTGTTTAATCTCTTTAAACCCTGATTTCCTTATCTGTAAAATGGATTCTCACTATCTACATCTTGGCTTCTTTTAAGAAATAAATAAGAAAACATTTACTAAGGACTGGCACATGGTAGGAATCTAACAAATATTTGTTCTCTTCCTCTTTTATCTCCAGCATGTTATTTCCTTTACCAAACGGTCTCCACAGCAGGTGTTAGTATATCTCACTACCCCTTTGTTAGTTTTTTGCCTTTGGCCATGTAATTAAATTACCCAACAGCCACAATGCACCACAGGACCTTTTAAAAAATTAGCCCCTTAATTCCAGGTATGGTCAAGGGTTGAGACCACTTCTCTACAGATTGAAATTTTTATTTTTATTTTTAGGCTTAAAATATCAACTCACACGACCTCGAGAAAGGGGTAGTCAGGAAGGTGAGCATACTTTGCTAGTGAAGATTGATATTAGTAAGTTAAGCGGCAGAATTAGAATCAGGTTCTTCTTTATTCTCTGGTCCTCACCTTCAGTTTCTCCCTTCCTACTTTGGATAGTGGACTGTATTGTCTAGTACGGTAGCCACTAGGCACATATGGCTATTGAAATTTATAGTCATGAAAATTGAGTGTAAAATTCAGTTTCTCGTTTATGCTTGCCACATTGCAAAGGCTCGGTGGCCTCTTGGACAGCCCAGCTGTAGAATTTTTTTTTTATCATCAGAGAAAGTTCTATCAGGCAGTGTTGTAGTAGGCCTTTCAATGAAGGAGACAGTGGGAGTTTCTCAAAGAACCTCTTGTTCAGATAACTCACTGAGAAATCCTCCCCAGCCCCAGCTTTATCGGACTCTCTTGACAAGATGTGGGGATGGGAAAGAACATAAACATCAGGGATCCTTTCAAACTGATCTCAGCCCCTAATCAGCTCTTACCAGTTGGTTAAGCCAGGTGACAAACCCAATTCCCTTGTGCTGACAGCCATGATAATCAGGCACCTTCTTTGTTCATTATGCTGTCTTTAACCCCAGCATTCTTATGCAGTCCTGCATTTAGTGATCACTCACTGTGACGGCACACTAATGAAGAAATAAAACACACTCTCTGAGACTCATTCTTCTAGCCAAAGAGAGACTCTGCTCCACTGGCTTGTAAAATCAGGTTTTTGTGCACTTGGAGAACGATTAGACCAGGTGAATACAAGGAGCATCAGCTAATTTAGCAGGAGACACCTAGAAGTTCACACCATCCACACTGCTGGATGGCTGAAGAGAATTTAATAAGTAAGTTGTACTTGGAGGAAAAATTTTGGTGGAACCTCTGTGAGAGGCTTCCAGCGAAAGGTGCTGAGATGTTTCAGTGCAAGCATTGTCTGAATGTTTTCCAGAAAATATTTTCCATACCTGTTTAGAAAGGAGAGTGCAATGTACTGCCCCTTAAGCATCAATGTGCATGGAAATCACACCAAATTTGCCTAAGGATTGGTAGAGGAAAAGTCAGACATGATGGCTAAGTTCTTGGATGGTACTGATGAGTGGATCAACCATCCTTAGGCAAAAAGGGTTTGGATTCCTTGTTTGATGGATGACAGGAGAGGGGATTTCCTCTCTTCCAGGCTTGTAACTTTCAGGCCTGTTCATCTCTCTGGTGACTCTAGAGAGATATTTGAAGGATTCTGGACAGTCTCCCTTGAGAATTGAATACTTCATTTATCTCCTCTAGGAAGAAAAACCAACCTGGTTTGGGGTCACACAGGCACTATGAGATTTTGGGAGGGTACTGGTTTGTCGTTCTTTTCTTCTCCTCAACTCCTCCTGAGTTAATGCCAGAGAATAAAAAATGTAAGTGCTCACCTCAGACACTGGGTCAAGGAAACCAACAGGGCTCTCTGGCAGTACCACCTGTAGCGCAGACAGTACTTCTGTGTACATAAACAGGGCTTCCCTTAGGCTGATGAAGGAAGTTTGATTTTGTGAATCATTTCATGGCAAGAATTTTCTTGTGATTTTTACTAAGAAATTGATGTTCTGTAATAACCCATACCCAGCCCCTTTCTCTTCTACATCTCTTTCCCCTTGCATGTTCCTCTTGTTTTAGTCTGGAATGCAGTCTGGTAGTCACCAGTGTTGGGAGATGTCCAATAATTGCAAGAGCAGGAAGACTTTTGATTACTTAGTCCTTTAGCTGCTTGTTCAATGACTGTAGCAAGAAAGGTGGTCTTTTCTCCTTCTGAGAGGCCAGGGCAATACTATATTTAAGGCAACTTTCTAATGTCCTATTACATTTCAAAATGTTCAAGGAAAATGCCTTACAAAGGTCATAATTAGCTCTGCAGAACTAAAAAGAAGTAACTAATTTATTTGCTATCTTTGCCTAGCACTATTACCGGAACGGTTTTCCGTATTTTTCAATTGGAAATCTGTCCTTGTTCTTTTGCTCTTTATTTAACTTGTTTGATGAAACTTATTAGACCTTTGTGATCAGGAACGCTCAGTAAGCAAGAGGCTCTGATATTGGATGGCCCATTTGAGGATCCTCACACATCCACCTGCAAGTAAAAGGCCT